TACCATAAAACGTGTGACTGTCACACAAGGACGACTCCAGGAATTTGCAAACTATTCACACAACAGCTCAGACTCAGGTGGACCCGACATACTGCATCACGTTTGTCTTTGCAGAATTCGTTTTAATTTGTGCTTAAGATCACAGTTTTGATTCGGAGTCAATTAACTGTTCAACCCTAAATAGCATCTGTGTGTCCATGTCGCTAATCGATCAGTAGAGGAGCAAACTGCTGCTGAATAACTTTAATCAGGAGTCAATATTCAGTTAGTTACACAGCACACTGTAGTGAAGTGATACACTTTCCCTCTTTCCTTTCCTTTCCTTTTTTAAAATCTCATTTTTCTCTTTTCTTCTTTTTCTTGTCATTCCATGGAGACTAAATGCCATTTTATTTGGACATTTACTCGCTTACCGCTCAAAATAAAAAATGATGAATCATTCATCAGTTCATCCACCCCCTCCTCTGTCACTTCAGGTGTTCCCCAGGGCTCTGTCCTGGGAACCCTCCTCTTCATCATCTACCTTCTTCCCCTCGGCAATATCTTTCGTAAATTTAACATTCATTTCCACTGTTACAGGCTGCAAGGTGGAGCGGTGGTTAGCACCGTTGCCTCGTAGCTAGAAGGTTGCCGGTTCGGGTCCCAGTGACAACACCCGGGATCTTTCTGCAAATGTTCTCCCCATGCAGCGTGGGTTCTCTCCGGGTTCTCCGGCTTCCTCCCACCGTGCAAAAACATGTTGAGGTTAATTGGTGATTGTAAATTGTCCGTAGGTGTGAATGTGAGTGTGCTTGGTTGTCTGTCTCTAAGTGTAGCCCTGTGATAGACTGGTGACCTGTCCAGGTGAACCTGCCTTCACCCTGAGTCAGCTGGGATAGACTCCAGCCCCACATGACCCTCGTGAGGATTAAGCGGTGCATAGAGAGTGGATGGATTTCCACTGTTACGCTGATGACACCCAGCTCTACCTCACCACTAAACCCTCGTCCACTCTTCCGCTCACCTCCCTCACTGATTGCATCTCTGAAATAAAAACCTGGTTCACCCTAAACTTCCTGAAATTAAACAGTCATTGGCACCAAATGCACCTTATCCAAAACCGACAGCTTTCCTCTCACCATGCAGCCAGTGTGAAAGTTCCGGTTATTCAGAATAATAGAGAAATACAGCAGAATGACGCTGAGGCAGTAAATCAACTGTCATATTTTTCATTCTTGTGAGAACTTCTTATGAAACACGGCTTCTCACTGACCCACTTTTTCACTCTACAATTTACAGAAAAAAGCAAACACCACTTATATTGCGGCAACATATTATTAGCATTGCATTTGCATAATAACTCGTGAAAGTCAGATATTTAATGACCATAAATGCAGGTACGACAAAACGTATGGTCACGATTCTAAAGCAGGCACACTTAAATATTAGCTGGAGATGATTTATTGTATTGTTCAAACTGTCAAACTGGAGCAGATTTAAGTGTTTCAGCTGAAGGAAGGTAACTGCTCATTATGCAATTGCTGTTTTGTTTCCTTGGAGCTAAATAAAGATGAATGCAGGCCTCAGCATCATAAGATACTCATGTGACAAGTCATAGTCACAGAACGTGCTCGACCGGTGAGGTCTCAAGTGTAAAACTGCTTCGAGTGGATGCGCAACAGGTGACACACCTTCATCACGGCACAAATTTCTCAGTGTAGAAAAATAAGGCCTCACTAGCAAAGTGTTAGTTTGACATATCCCATCTGCAGCATTGCATGTTTTTTTTTGTAGTTACCGCTACATGCAGCTTTGAATAAACACTCCAGGTTGGTGATCGGTCCACTTAGCATTAGCCTTGTTTTTCTGTTTATAGATCTGGAGACACTATCATAAAATAAGCTTTGGCTTAAGATGCAGCATCTCTGCATCATAAAGCGCAGCACCTCGGCATTGTTTTCATTCTTCGTAGGATTAATCTCAGATTGGATTGTGGCCATGAAATCTTTGCAGCAGGTAAAAAAAAAATGCTTTATCGCCGAAACATGAAAAAGGATTATCCACGCTAATATGGCTAATCCATAACAAATATAAAAAGGCTTAAGGGCAGAAAGTGCACTTAATTTCAGCAAGAATTACAAATAATCCAGCAGTTTAACTTTGACTCTGAGCCAAGGATGAGCAGGGCCAGACGGCGGCGTCTCAGACGGCAGCGGTGTTTGCACAGAGCCAGTCAAACAGTCCAATGTAACCTCTGTGTGACTCTACACGCCCTCAGCGCTGTCAGGAGGGGACATGTCAGTGTCACTCAGCAATGCCACCTGCCTGGTTTTCACAAAAAAAAAAAAAACTCAGCGCTCAAAGTCAAACGCAACAGTTTTTATGGGTTTTTCTTCTCTGGGAAAAATGCTTTTGTCAGATGGCCAAACAAAGCATTCTGACGTGTTTTTTTAATCAACCGCATCCAGTCGAACCTTTGGTCCTTCCGGTTTTTCAGATTTCGCTCTTTTTTTCTACAGTAGTATTACACAAGAGCTGCTGCAGCTGTTTTAGCGACGGCGGGAAAATACTTAAAACGCAGCTCGCTTATAAGCTGTCCGTGAACCTCAAATGACGTCCACATGAACCAGACAAGACACAGAACGAGATGCTCAGCGGGGATATTTGAAGAGCTCATTTGCAAAAACAGAAAACGCAATTTTTGTAGATGTTCAGAAGACTTAATTTTTTGTTGTTTGCTGAAGATAATATCAATCAGACTGAGGTGGAGTGGATTTGACTCAGTAGAAATGACAAAAATAGAGACGACTTAAGTTTGATTGATGATGGATCTGTTTTTGCAAATGAACTCTTCATTTGTTCATGCTCATAACGTTTGGAAACCAGGTAAATATCTTCTGTCAGTGGGTTAAAAAACCAAAAATGTGCATCACACCCAGCAACGTGACAAGGAGTGGAGGAGAAAGTGCTCAATCTTATTTGACTCAACCTATTTCTCTTGTCATTTGATCGCAGGTCATATCCTCGTTAAAGAGGAAAACAGCAAACCCATAATTACTGTTCTATGATTAACACCTGCAACGTTTTCTTCTTCCACACTAAAACAATCCCTTTAAGATTTATCTGCAATGAGGGAAAAAGAAAACTAATTAAGATATCATGCAGCATTTTGCCATTTATCACATTAATTCTTCTAATTTCGACGCCATCCTGTTGCTGCTCACTGTCTTTTTCTTTTGTTGTTTTTGTTTTGTGTGGAAACGCTCCACCAGAACTGCTCATAGACAGAACTGTTTGTCCTTAAATATCCCAGAGGCACATGTTTGTAAGGAATCTTGTTTTCTGCTGAACGTAAAACTCAGAAGGTCGGAGGTTGTGACATCAGTTTTTTAAAAAAGAGTAAACAGCGCTTTTACGCACACGTATTGCACGTAGGCCACGAGAGCGTGTTTGCCTGCAGGAATCCAAACCAGAAGCACATTTCTAGTAAACAGTTGAACCGTTTTGAACCATCAGCAGCACTTGCTCGAGCTGCTGCTTGCTAACAGTTATGAAAAGTCTCTGCGACTGACGACGAGGTTAACAGAGAAACTTTACATTTAGTTTTGCCTGCGGTCATTGTGCAGCGTGATGATGTGTTACCGTATTATCTCAGTAATTTGGCATTTATATCAGTTATTTAATAATTAATTTAAAAAAACAAAACCCTGAATAACATCGACGGATCACGATGTGTATCTAATGTGAATTCTGAAAGTGTGAATAACAACATATGCTGGATTTAACACTTTACACAGTTTAAAGCTGCATCGAGAGACTGTTTCTGGCTGTTAACACGACTGACACTCAACGTCTCTCATGACTCATTATCAGAGTTTCTTATTCACGCATCCAGCAGAGAAGAAGAAGCCTCGTTCATTTCTGATAAATTCCCTGTAAGATCTTTTTGCAGCTCTCAGTGGCTGGACTTGACAACAGTGCGACCGGAGCGACGGCAGTTCAAGTTGAAGTCTGTAAAACCAGCTGCTAATTGCTGCTGGTGTTTTCCAGCCTGGAGGTGGCTGCGCCGAGACCTCTGTTATTCAAATGCAGCCCGCTGCCATTTTTAGAAAGCTGCACAGTTTTGACAGATTCGGCGAAGAGGCCGACGGGTTCCACATGACTGAAATGACTGCAGCTCCAGTCCTGCAGTGTTTTACACCTGAATATCAGCGTCGCTGGCTTTTCAGGTTTTCAGTTCGCTCTGGTTTAGTAATATGGATAAAGTGACTTATTGTATTCCAAAACTCTCCTCAGTGTCCGTGGAGCCCAAGGCTGTTTGTTTTGGCTTGTTAAAGAGTGTGCTTTCTGTTTCAGCTAAAACCGTAAAGAGTAGCCGAAAGCTTCAGGGGTTAAATGAAGGTAAAGAGGCAGAAAAAACAAGATTGTGTCACAAAAAGCAGCAACAGTTGGGTGTTTTGGGAGTTTTAATGAAACTCTGACGTAAACTCTTGAGTATTTTTGTAAATTTCAGAGGTACAGGAATGGGAAACAAAACTGAAAACATATTTACAAGTCTTAGTGAAAGGACACGTGTGATGTTAAAGAGTTGAGGAGCAGCTCCTTGAAGGAGTGCTGCCATCAGCTGGCCTGCTCACAGAAGTCCACAGAACACCACCTCCAAGTTCCATCCATCCATTATCTATACACCGTTCAATCCTCACTAGGGACGCTGGAGCCCATCCCAGCCGACTTAGGGCGAAGGCAGGGGACACCCTGGACAGGTAACCAGTCTATCACAGGGCTACACTTAGAGACAGACAGACAACCAAGCACACTCACATTCACACCTACAGACAATCTAGAATCACCAATTAACCTCAACATGTTCTTGGACTGTGTGGGAGGAAGCCGGAGAACCCGGAGAGAACCCACGCTGCACGGGGAGAACATGGAGACTCCACGCAGAAAGGGACGCGAACCGGCAACCTTCTTGCTGCGAGGCAACAGTGCTAACCACTGCACCACCCTGCAGCCACCTCCAAGTTCATTCACAAGAAATCTAAAAATAAATATCACATATGCTGTTTTTTTCTGTTTGCTGTTGATGCTTTGCTTCAGTGTTCATGCCGGGTTTTCAACATCTGTTCAGGAGGACAAGAATACGAACAACAAACAACCTCCAGAGCTGCGTGTTAACCGTCCTGCATTATGTGATTTTGTTGTATATGGTGCTGAGTTCTGCCCGAAGTTTCTTAAAAGACGGCCTGTTTTTGGGTTCGTACTGCCAGCAGCTGCTCATGATCTTGGAGACCTCCACGGGGCAGCTGTGTGGAGCCGGCATACGGTATCCTGAAACACAGCACAGCTTCAGCTCACATGTTTTCTGATTCATGTGAAATCCAGAAAAAAAGGCTTCAGCGTCAGGACGTCCCCCCAGTGACCCCTCAGCACCTTTACCTTTCTCCACCTCGTCTCTGGTCTGCTGGTTGTTCATGCTCGTGTAGGGTGGCATCCCCATGGAGAAGGTTTCCCACAGCAAGACACCAAAGCTCCAGACATCACTCTCTGTGGTATAACGGCCTGGAAAAAAAACCAGCAGGGGGCAGCATTAGCAAAGGCTCAGACGCAGCTCTTTGTCAGGTTACTGGCAGAGTGAAGAGGAGGAGTGATTGCGGCTGTGACAACACAGCAGATCCACCGGCGTCGTACCGTAGTTCAAGGCTTCAGGTGCCGTCCATTTGACAGGAATCTGTCTGAGGCCACCTTCTGCTGAGTAGACGCCGTCGTCCTGCTGACGGGACATCCCGAAGTCACTGATCTTCACCACATTGTGCTCTGCGACCAGACAGTTTCTGGCTGCAAGGTCCCTTAAAAAGAAAAAAAAAAAAAGACAAGACAGATGGAGAGAGATGTAAGAGGCTGATAAAAAATGGAAACAGAGGAGACACAGAAGCAGGCAGCTCTGTATGATGAAAAAAAAAGACCCAGCCAGAGAACAGACAGCACTAACTGGAGTGAAGAAACAGGCGTCCTTGTCATGTCTCTGGTGTTGCGTTTGAGTGCAGTTTGACATACAGGCTGCACCGGCAGACTGCTCCGATCTGACCCGCTGGGCAAATCGTACAACATCCCTGTAATGAGCCGGATGTCACCACCTCCTCCTCCTCCTCCTCCTCCAAGAGCTCCCACAACCCCTCACTGATGACTCACTCAAAGATTCGCCCCGAAAACGCCACAAAAACGTCGCACGCAGTTTCCAATTTCAGGCTGTTTTCCGCAGAATCTTCACTATAAATAGGTTCAATATTTTTGGATCTCAGATTTATTTTAACACGAGCTTTAAAAGAAAGACGTTTTGTTTGTAGGCTACATGCAAAAAACCCCCGTGTTTGATCTTTCTAAGCAGCTCCAGGTCTTCTGAGGCTGTGTTTGTGTAGCTACAGTCAGAGTTGTGAGCCAGTTTTCCTCTTGGCGTGTGAAATATGCTCAGAAAGATCTCATCACACCTATCTCGGCATCCTCGCGTTGGCTCCCTGTCGCTTTTTACGGCAGATTTTTTTTTTTTGAAAAATCATTTATCACAAGCGTAAAAGAGTTTATAAGGCTCTGAATGGTTTAGCACCATATTAAGTTGACTCTCTCATATATTCAGCTGCTGCTTTAAGCCGTCGAACACAACAGCATTAAATCCAGCAACAGTTAGAATAGAGAAGTATGGAGAAGCAGCTTTCTGTGGAGCAAAACTGTGAATAATCTGTGCATTAATACCTGAAATGCAGCTTCTGTAGTCTGCATCTTTGATTATTTTTGGTCCATTTTTCTTTGTTGTAGAAAGAAAATAACTAGATATATGATGGTTCTCGATCAGCTCTGGTCCATTTTGAGTTTCATTATGTTAAATAAAAGGTGCATTGCTCTAACATAAGCTTCTTCGGACCGCCTCCATATTGTCATGCAGCGCACAGTTGAAGTCACAGCTGTCTTCTTCATTAAAGTAAGTGAAAAAACGTTGAGCAGCCAGAAAAGCATGTTTCTGGCTTTTATTTAAGGAAACTTTTCTTTCTGTTTTTTTTCTCTACTCCATCGTTTCACTGCTGCACCAACATATGGGGAAGTGCTGCAGGGAAAGTGCAATTAACAGTTAGGTGAAGTGAAAGCTGAGGAAATGAGTGATGTTTTGTACCGTAAAGGCTTAGAGGTCCATCTGCCTCTCTGCAGCTTGTACCGCTTTAGTTTTCTAGGTGGAAACGACACAACACGCCGTGTGCAAAATGAACATGTTTTAATATGCAGCTAATCAGCTTTCACTGGAATAATCATCTGTCTGAGACGTCACCCTGCTGGGTTTTATGTGTGGCTTTAGATCTACGACACAAAGTGTTTTTTTTTAGTTTATTTTATTTGCTTGTTTTTCTTAAATAAACTGCATCTTTTTAAAGCTCACATTGATGAACTTATCCAGCGCTGCAGTGCAATAAGGGTTATTCCTGTTTTAACAAAATATGTGGCTCTAACTTTGCAAGATTTAACGATCTCATGTGTTTATTAAGGTAAGTGTCTGTTTAGGATCCCTGCTGCTGTGTCTCTGATCTAAGTTATATAAAGCCACAACGATACCGGAGCCTGATTTAATGATCAGACCAAAAAACAAACACTGTAAATAGTCCCTTAAAAGAAGAAAACACAAACACCGATGGGCCGACCGACCAACCTGTGGATACACTTCTTGCTCGCCAGGTACTCCATACCAGACGCTACGTTTTCTGTCATTTTGACCAACGTCTTCGGCTTCAGACTGTGACCCTCATGACGCAGGAAGGACAGAAAATCACCACCTTGAAATATTTGGAGACACACACACACATATATATATATACATGTATGATGGAAGAGCAAAGATGGGTAGCAATAACAGTAGAACAAATCTCTAAAGCTAAATGAATGAAAACATGTAAAGATGGTGTCAAACGGGGTCGTATTTACCTTGGACCAGCTCCATGATGATGTAAATGGGCTGCTTCTGTGTGCAAACTCCAATCAGCTTCACTATGTTAGGATGGTTGTAATGCTTCAGGATCCTGGACGGCAGCAAAGGAGAGGATTTACAGCAACGTGTGTGTGTGTGTGTGTGTGTGTAGGTGCGTGTGTGTGTGTGTGTGTAGGTGTGTGTGTGTGTGTCTGCACCAACCTGGCTTCCATCAGGAACTTATTCTTGTGCTCCGGGGCCAGGTTCTCTTTGCAGGATTTCACAGCTACAGGAGTGTTATCAGAGCGCAGGTGACCGCTGTACACCTCTCCGAAGTTACCCTGTGAAGTGCCAACACCAACACCATCAGCTGGAATTTTCTCTCCTTTAATAAAGCAGAGTAGACGTCAAGCCCGGCACCGAAAGGTTTAAAGAAATGCCAGCGCTTGACCTGGCTAACGGTTTCCTTAATGAACTGAGTCAAACGTACACGATTTCATCACGATAATGAGCACGGTCATAAATTATAAACACCTTTAAGGGTTTCAACGGAAGCTGCAGCTGCTCGGTGGTCTTTAAAAATGTGTGAAGTTTAGGTACAAATCAGCAGGAAAGCTCAATTTAGCAGATAGGTTCTCATTTTTACACAGCTACCGTGGAGATGCTTCCCTTTCAGCAATTTCAGTAAGTGATGCAGAACTCAGTCTACACTCTTCCCTCTGTGTGGACATCATCTCCTGAGGTCCGCTGTAGCTGATATAGTCTGAATTACATATCATCATATCATCATCCTCATCATCCTCATCATCCTCACCATCGAGTTGCTCAGCTCAACGAAAGGTTCCGACTAAAATGACTTGTAGAAGATAACTTCAGCTGGATTTTCAAATACGCTTTTGCTCGATACAATAACTGCTCCATCGCTTACATTCTAATAATTTTTCAAGGTTTTTCTCTTGCAGCCATTATGGAACCATAAAGCAGTGGCGTGATAAAAAAAATACCTTAAATTTGCTTTTCTTTTCTTTGAACAGACGTCTAGTTTACTCACCCGTCCAATGAAGTGTCCCAAGACAATATCGTCGTGGTCCAGGACCCACTTGTCCTGATGGGAATGAAAACAAACCATAAGACACACATGGTGGTGCTTTTATAAACTGTGAGAGCAGCGACGGACAAGAGAAAAGGAGCGTCGAGAGAGTTGGAAGGTTACATGGTCCACTCCATCAGTGCTTTAATGACCAGTTCAAATGTTCTGGGCCATGCAGATGTGGATTAACATCCATCCATCCATTATCTATACATCGCTTAATCCTCATGAGGGTCATGGGGGGCTGGAGTCTATCCCAGCTGACTCAGGGTGAAGGCAGGTTCACCTGGACAGGTAACCAGTCTATCACAGGGCTACACTTAGAGACAGACAACCAAGCACACTCACATTCACACCTACACACAATTTAGAATCACCAATTAACCTCAGCATGTTTCTGGACTGTGTGGGAGGAAGCCGGAGAACCCGGAGAGAACCCAAGCTGCCCAGGGAGAACATGGAGACTCCAGATTCCGGTCTGCGTCACTGCATTACCTTCAGCACAGGTTTCTTCAGCACGATGTCGCACCTCTTGGTGACGTGTTGCTGTGACGACAGCAGATGCTGAATCAGCAGTGGGATGCTGCTGAAGCCTTCTCCATCCAGACGGTACACATTCTACTGACACACCCACAAGAGCATTTACAGATGTGAACTGATTCAATCATGTGCACTATTGACCTATTAAACAAACTGTAAGATACATTACATATTCTGTTGTTTTTTTTAGCATTATTGGCCTTGATGAAAACTTGCATATTCAAAAACACTGAAGAAACGCTCACAGGGAAATGAATGATGTAAGAATGTGAAATGCACTCGTGCATAATGTTATTTACAAAAGCATCCTGTTCTCCATGAGGCAGATTCACTCACATCTGTGTTCTGAACAAGGAAGTGCTTGCAGGATCCGTCCCACTGCACCGACAGCACATAGCCGTGCTTCTCCTGACTCTTCCTCACCAAGAAGTCTCCGTTGTTCTTCAGCAGCTGCTGGACCTCCAGTCTGGGAATGGCTCCGTGGTACCAGTCCTGCTGCCCCAGAGGACGGTCCACGTCCTGCACCTGGGTCAGAACCGGAAGCACCTGGAGGCAGGAAGAGAGAAACGCAGGATCTTTAAAGCCGGCACGAATAATGAAACAATAAGAGGTGATGAGAGGCTGGATTTTGGGGGTGATTCTGCAGAGATTAAACGGAGATACTTCAAAGAAGAGACTGTAAAACTTTAAAGTCTAACCACACCACCCTTCATGCCTCCAGGGTACCGCGGGGCTGGGAGTGAGAGAGGGAGAAGTAGTTCACGTAAAAATAGCAAATAATTAAGACTTGAAGTTCAGCACATTATAGACATTTAAATATGACTTGCTCAGGAGGATGCTGTGGAGCTCGCACACAGTCATTTTTATGTTTCTGACAGTTTAAACACTGTAATCCTGACGGCACCGGGCCTTTCCTATTGAGACTTAGTATGCAGCTGGGTCACGGCTCCCTGTGCGCTTCTGTCTGTCAGCAATGATTAAGCGATTAAATGTAAACTGGTTGCCTGAGAAGCAAACTTGGTTTGAGGTCAGGCAGAATTTTGCGAGTGGTGACGCGACCGACAAAGCTGACCTCGATAAGTCCCACGATGCTGCAGGAGCACGAGACCCCAAAAGAAAAAGATCCTGTGCATGAGAGCGCTCCACCACGCAGAGGTTAGACTTTATAACTCTGCCGCTTCCTCCAGAGCATGATTTATTGTTTGCTGTGCGGTAAGAGGTCTGCGTGCACGACAACAGGCACTGCGGCAGAAGTGAAGAGCAGGGAGGTCAGAGAGTGAAGAGGGGAAGTGTCCTTCAGCTGGAACTAAATTTATTCCATTTGGAAAGTCTTCTTCCTTTTACAGTTTGACTACTAGTTCTCCATCTGCCATTGTTTGCTGCGTATTTATTTTCCGCTGATTGCAACTGAGTGAACAACTCACCTCAGATTTGGGTTTGAACAGATTTTTGATGCCGTCCATGACCAGTTTGGATGGAAAGTGCTCCTGGAAATAAAAAAAAAAAAGACCAAAAGCACATGAGGTTGGTCAGTTAAGATTCAATGAAGGAGATGTCCAGGTGTCCTCCATAACATACACGCCTCTCATTTTTCCCCTCCGGCAGCTTTAAAACATCTTATTCCTCGCTGACTGACAGTATCAGCCTGTTCCAGCTCTTCATTAAAGCTCCCATACTGTGCCCCCCTTTTCAGCAAATTAATCAAAGTGTCTTGTGTTCTCACGGAGCGCCTTTACGTCTTCATGTCGGAGCTCTTAATGACTGTTTGAGCTGGACGACTGCTGGTTAGTTAGGTGTTATACAGCGCCTGGGTTCTGACTGGATACTGGGAGGCTGTTTAGTGGTGGGAGGAGGGTTGGGAAGCAAGTGTCTTTATATCTTAACCGCTTATATTTTACAACAGCTGCAAAACTAAACACAAATGGATTTTCACCGCATGGGACCAATATGAGGATTAAACTGAGATGCAAAGACTCGCCATCAAAATAAAAGCAAACATTAAAAAGCACATTATTTTATTCTGTATCTAGTTAGTATGTCGAGTATTGTTGTCCCTTCATCATAAAGGCTGATTTCCTGCAACAATGGCTGCAATATTAGGAGCAGATATGAGCGAGTTTCAAGTCACGAAAACCACAAATTAAACAAGACTGCTCCCATGCTGGCAGCTCCGCGCGGCGCTCTGCTGCTAACTTGGCTTTGAATCAGAGCGCCAGCAGCCAATCGTGCTTGTGAGCAGAAGGCGAAGGTGATACCCAATATTATCATATTTGGATCTAAAGATTCAAACAACAACAACAAAAAAAAAAAAGGGGAAACAACAATATGCAAATCGAAGTCAGAACAGAGATGCAATATCTTCCGACTTTGTTCAACGTTTGAGGTTGCACAATGAGACGTTTAGGTGAAGCTGAGGTCAGTGTTACTTCTGTTCTTCAGTTGGATGTGTTCATGTTAGCATAAACAGGAAACTCCAAAAACACGTAATGATGCAGTAAGTAGCTTTAAAGTTAGCCTGATAATTCTAATATAATGACTTGTTTAGGATCCAAAATACTAAGTTTAGGAGATTAAAACTCACTGATGAGGGACTTAAATGCCCAAACTTTCTTCCAAAACAGTGACTTTGTCCTACATCTGGTGCAACAAGAAGTCAGTCTGTGTGCATAAGTTTAGATGAAACACAGAGAGAACGACTGGTTCTGTGAATTTAAACTCAACACCATGACTTGCCTTCAGAGGTCACATGCAAACACACAACCTGTGCTCCCACCTGGTCGAGTTTCAGTTACATGAGGAACTAATGAACGACAAAGCATGGAAAGCCTCCGTCAGAGAAAACATACGTTGTTTGTGCTGGACGAAAGTGAAACAGAGTCAGGGTCCAGCTTCAGAGCAGAGGGAGGTTCTCTGGAGCCCAGCTCGTCCAGCTTGGCCTTCAGGAGAAGCCTCTGAGCCTCCAGCTTGGCTCGGATGCCCTGAGACAGGGCGACCTGCTGCCGGCACTCCTCCATCGCATGTCTCTTGCTGAACATGTAGACTCTGAGCAAAGCAGAGGGGCAGCGCGTCAATGAAACAACACAAGTGACACAAATAAACGGGACAAAAGCACATAGACATCGATACAACGTCTGTTTCTGCTGCTCTGCAGATTCCTCCCATTGATTAATGCAGTCAATAAGAAGGCTTCTCCGACAACAGCTTAGTCAGCCTTTGTCTGGATAATGTGCATGTAGGACCTATAAAACCTCTAATGACCCGAGAGTCCTGCGAGTGAGGTGAAACGGAGCTTCAAAGATAAAAGGAGCGTTCACTGTAGAGGTCTTTGAGCTTAATTAAGCAGACCTGAGCGGAGCAGCAGGGCTGGATCAACCTGTTAGAAAGCTGCTGCTGAAGAAATGTGCTGCTGGAGCCCCAGTGACACCCCGACCTCCCAGAGTGCATCTGCAAGTTCCCACGAGTACAAACACTATAGTCACAGATACAGACGGTCCAGTATTCACCCACTGGGTCACTTACTCTGGAATGCTTTCATTTGAGCTCAAACATATAAGTGACTGATAAGAAATAACATATTTAAGGCATTTCTCCAGCAAAAAAGACAAACCTCCTCTAGTGTCAGCCTCTAAAATGTGAGGATTTGCAGCACTTCTTTGTAAACTGAACATATTTGGGCTTCGGACTGTTGGAATTTTCACTATTCTGACAATTTTAGCAACAAAACTGAAGTTCATCAGCTCCAAATCCACTGTCACAGAAGCAGTTTCATCATTACCATCATCAGCTCCCCTCTGGTCAAGAGTCTGGGTGTCGTCCTGTCTGTCAGTCCAAACCCACATCAGTAACATCACTCGGTCTGCATACTTCCATCTTCGAAACCGCCTCCGACCCGCCCTCAGCCCTGTCAGCATCCTGGTCCACTCTCTGGCCCGCCTGGATGTATCGCAGCTCTCTTCTCTCTGGTCTCCCCCTCAAGTCCCTCCATAAACTCCAGCTGGTTCAGAAAGCTGCAGCCCGGATCATCACAAGAACACCATCTATCCACCACATCACTCTGGTTCTTCACTGGCTCCCAATCACACACCGCGTTGTCTTTAAAACCCTCCTCCTAACCTTCAAGGCCCTCCATAACCTCTGTCCCTCACTGAACTCCTCCACTTCAGATCCTCTTCCTCCTTTAGCCCCACCATCCCTCCTGCCCCAGTGACCACCACAAGGTCCAGAGCCTTCAGCCTCTAGACCTCTCTTCCATCTGACATCCAAAACTTTGACTCTCTGGTAATTTTCAAATCATGTCAGATTGAAAAAAGCCCACTCACTTTGACTTTCATTCATCTGACTGAGAAACTTCTGTTTTAAATGGTGTCCTTGAGTTTTTTGAAAGATGCTTATAAATAAAAATTATTATTATTATTATTATTTTACAGACTGAATTGTGGAGTAGTGAAAGCGCCAAATTACAAAAAATAAATCAATAAAAGGATGATAAAATAAAAGTGGAAATAAAAAGAAGAATAAATAAAATACAAAATGAATAATGTGGCAATTTAAATCAATACTAATCAAAAATGAATCCATAAAAGAAAAGGCTAATAAAAGTAGAAATATAAAGACAAATAAATATATAATAAAAAATAACATTTTTATGTATTTATGTATTTTATTTATTTTTAATTTTTAAAAAATATTTCCTTTGCTTTTAAAGTGACATTATAAAAAATAAATAAAAATGAAAATGAAAAAAAGAATTGTAAAAAAAATTAATAATAAATAAATAAATTCATTAAAAAATAAAATAATTACATTTAAAAATAAATAAGTTAAAATAAACAAATTCTTCTTCTTCTTCTTCTTATTATTATTATCATTATTATTTTATTTATTTATTTGTCTCTATATATCTACTTCATTAGCCTTTTCTTTTGATTCATTTTTGATTAATATTGCTTTGTGTTGCCACATCATTTATTTTTTATTTTATTTATTCTTCTTTTTTCCCACTTTTATTTTATTATTCTTTTATTGATGTATTTTTGTAATTTGGCGCTCTCACTACTTCACACTAAATGATTAAAAAAAAAAAAAACACAACGAACTGATCAGCTGAGCCTGTTTTTACTGAGTCATTCTGAAGGAAGTATTCAAAAACCTTTGACAAAGTCATGGGCGAGACGGAACCACGAAAGTCGGACATCTCCTCGGGTGCACAGATCTGAGCTCCAGGAGGTCAACCTAATAAAGCTTTTCACTGTTAATTTGCAAAATGTTTCTTCAACATGCACACCGAAGGGCAGCGTGACCTCCACTCACCTCCCAGCGCCGCCGCCGCCGCCATATGTGCTCCCAGCTGCCCTCAGCAACCATCAACTTTTTTAGAAATAAACACGTTGTTTCCGTCCTTCAGGAGCTCGGTAACGACTCGATCGTTCCCGCGGGACCGTAAACCTCTAACACCTTCAGACAGCCTCATCAACCAAGACAAATGAGGAGATCGAGCTCCATAACTCGGACCGTTTGCTGTATTATAATTCATAAGGCACTTACTGCCCCCCGAGACCACGCTGGTTATTAGTTGTTGCACAGCCAACAGCACACCGAAGTGTCCCGATGGGAGGGAGGGACTGCCTGCAGAGGCAAACTGTAGTCATTTGTCTTCACAGCCACCGTAGGCCTGTGTGTTATTATTGCTGAACCCGCCTGCCTGACCTCTGAATTCAGCACCGGTCTGCTCACCTCTGGCCCTTTTTGACACCTTCCTGCTCCTCTTCCAGCTCCAGCTCCAGGTGTTCGACTGAAGCCTGCTGAGAGCTCAGAGTGCGAGCCAGGTCCAGCAGCTCCTCCTCTGTGGCAGTCAGCCTGGTGGAAGAAGAAATGATGTGAGCAGAGGAAGTAGCTGATGCAAAACGGTCAGCGGGAAACTGGAGAGAACAGCGGAGGCCGAGGAAAAGGAAGTAGCTGAACCGAGTGTTGTCATCTGAACGAGGCTGCATTGTTTGCTCTCACTTGTGCTGGATTTTCTCAAGCGTGAGGTCGTTCAGTTCGATCTCTCGGGGACGGAGCTGCTCGGCGTCCTCCAGGAGGCTGCAGTCGAAGTCGGCACAAGCAGGATTCTCCCCCACAGAACTACAATCACAAGCACACGGCCCATCATTTGCTCTGCGGGGGGGGGAAGCTTTCGTGATTGTCGAGGGGAGAAGTTTGCGTCTACCTGTTCTGATGGATGAAGCTCTCGTACTCTCTGTGAGGATCGATGGCCGTTAAGGCCGACGACATCTCCCTGTGGATCTGCGTCACCTCGTGATGGATCAGGGTGGAGATGTCGAAATACTCCTGCAGGATCTCCTTTCTGGATCGGGGGTCAGGAGGGATGAAAACAGAAGGAAACATGTTTGAGCTGAATCCAAACCACATATACATCACATTACTGCTTTGTTCTTGGGAGTCACATCTGTAATGGTAAAATACTGCATCTGCATGAGGAATGTCAAAGTAAGTTTCTCTAAGTTTCATTAAAGCTGAGTGGAAAGGTTACAGGCCCAACATGTGTTCCCATAACATCCAGGTAAACACTAGTGGCTGTACATGGGAAGAAGAAGTTGTGCATCCCATGTGTTTAGACTTTTGATGCCTGATCCTGCGTGTTTAGTCTTCTAATGTCTGAAAATGCCTGTGCACCCATCTGTTGTTTTCCAGCATGGGATTGTTCGACTACCGTTGGAGTAAAGACCACGCCTGTACATGTATAAGAATACCACGCTGCCTGCATTCATGTGTACTCTCCTGCAGACTGCTTGCATTCTGTATGACCTGTACCTTCAAAGCTTTGAATAAAACAAGACAACTCGGACTACTGGACTTTATGTAGATCATAGAAAATTTCCTCAACACATCCTTCTCCAGATTGATTGGTTGCCTCGTACTACGTCTGCGTGATGAAAATCTCCTGTGAGTGCAGCACTTCATCACAACGTTTTCGTTTTTACGTCAGATTTGTGTTGTAATTTCTTGTTTGGGATTTAATGATGCTGCAAGCTCAGGCCTGTTTTGCAAACTCCTGTAACTTTTAATGTCGACACCTCCCGAATTCACGTCACCCGCGTTCTTGTTTCCTTTCCTTGACTTTTGATTTGCAGACTTTTCTGAAAGCAGCAACTATGAAAACTCAGATGCTGCTCTCAATCACCTGACTAAACATTATTAACATAAAGCTGCTGGAAAATAAACACTAAACGTGGAGTTAGGATGCCTCCGCTCAGGTCAGTGTCAAGTCTGTGGAAATGATTTTGCACAGAGGATGTGATAATTAAACATATGGCGGCTAGAAAAAAAAAAAAAAAGGTTTGTTTGCCCCAGCTTGTGGGAAAAAAAAAAAAAATGGAAGTAATTTTGAGATATGAAGATGTAAAATTCTTCCACATTTATATTGTGGCACGATTAAATTACGTGTCACCCAGGGCAGCTTCTCACTGCGTGGAAATAGAAATCAGATGTCAACACAATTTACAGACATGCACCAGTAAACATCAGCGCCGTGTGCAGGAGACAGTTTCTTGTCAGTCTTAACGTTTCTCTCATTTCCTTTCTGTCCTTCAAATACGCGCACACACACACACACACACACATGCACACACACACACACACACACACCCACACACACACACACACTTACAGGACGAGCACCATCTCCTGCTGCAGAGTCTGCAGAGCGCTGAGCAGTGCCGGCTGGATCTGGCTGTAGTGGTGCTGATGGTAAACCTGAGCGGCTCTCACAGACAGGACGTACTCGTTGTGGAGCTCGTAGAGCTTCAGCGTGGCCTTCACGTAGCGCTCTTTGGTCTTGTCTCGCTCTTTTTCTGCACACACACACATACAAGTGATGCCATGATGGAAATACAAATTTAACACAGGAAGAAAGTTTCAAAAAAACCAACACCCAGAGTGCTCCATCAGTGTGAAACCGATTCTGTAAGTGATACCAGGAATCGGCACCTTTGTTGTTGTCCTGGTACTTCCTCTTTGCTTGAGCTGCATCTCTGGCTGCCTGCCTGTAGCTGCTCCTCAGCTTGTCCAGCTCTGTTTGGGTCACCTGAAAGCAATCGATGAGGAGTTAAATAAGAACAGTGCAAGATATGAATGCAATAGATAAAATGCATAAGAGCCATAAATCATCCCGATCCAAGGCCTGCATCCTCTGTTCTCGGATCGTCCTCCTCTTCGTGCTCCTCCAACGAAGCATGAAAACTAAAGAGCTGCAGCTAAAAGACTGGAGGCAGAGGAGCTAAAGATCTGTCGTGGTTCACGGCTCGGCAGCGCGCCAGGCAAGCAAGCTGGAACAAGACCATTAAGTGGCTTTAAAGGCAATTAAAGAAATTTTAAAATCAATACGGCGACGGATAGGCAGCCAATTTAGTGACTTTAAAAGAGGGGTAGCGTGTTCTCTTCTCTCCGTCCTCGCCGGTGGAGTTTTGAGTCATTTGTAACTGGTGTCTTAACTTTTTCTGAGAGTTCAGTTTGGAGAGAGTCTGGATGTGAAAGAGTCTCTTTCTGTGGCTCAAAGAGAGAAATGGCCACAACTTAGTCCTATTTTTAAAGTCCTGGAGAATTGAAATGTGTTGCCAGTGTCTTTTTCTCTGAGGTGCTGATGATATGAATAAAGTTTGATCCTGTTGGAGCTGCAGTTCGGCTCTGATATCTAAAATTCATCAAAAAGGTATTTGTCTCGTGACATCAGACGACAGATAAAGCTGATTGATTAGTGCAGCCGTGGATAAAAACACACCCCGTATCTCCTGAGCTTTACATCAGACAGATTAAAAAGTAGAAACCCTCAAATCAATCCCCCACAGGTTATTTTAGTGAGCTCGGAAAAGTTATAATTGGTTACTAAAAGGAAGTTCCTGTAAACTCAGCAACTAGACCGGAACAACTTGTTGTGTGGAAAATACACACATATATATGAAAGAAAAAAACACACACAGAGAGCAGAGACAGTCGATCCTGGAGTGACTTGTGTGGTGTGAAGATGCTGCAGTGGGCGTACTTGCTACTCAACTCAGGAAGTGGACAACAGACCTGTTATGTTTCACAGCAGAGCAACATGAGGAAATGATCTGACCTTTGTTGTGCTGCTGGGCGCAAAACTTCAAAACCCCTCCGACAGTTGTGACATAAATTACTGTATGACTGCACGGTGACGCACACAAAACCAGCAAAGTGCCTGATAGGCGTTCAGACGTTCAGACCAATGTGGAACACACCATTTGCCTGATGTAATTGGGTAATAAAAAGAGCGTGGGGCTGCCACCACTTTTTGATAACATCAGAATGCATTTGCACACGTTCTTTCCAGTCTATTGAACCTCATTTTATCACACTGCTGTCTATTTAGAAAGCTGCTGCCGTCTTCATCTGCAGGACACGTGTCAGAAAAATCAGATTTTCAAGCACAAATGTACACGTAAATATTCTACCTGTGATGATCATATGTGTGGACTGACTAGAATCATTTTGTATGTTTGCTTTCAACTTAAACACAGCAAATACTTGTGGACAACACGAGTCTGTGCAGCTTGATGTGTCATTTGAAGTCCCAAAGTTTTGGCATCAAGATTAAAAAAATCAAAAATCAAACGTTGCACAAAACATCCTGCGTCCAATCGTTTGAATCGTTCAGTTCTACTTTTTTGCTCCGTCAGTACAGTAGCTGACAGGAAGCGCGTCGTCGACCACAAAGACATTTAAAAAGCAATCAAAAAACCACCAATATGTTTTAAGCAGTGGGCTCGTCAAGGTCAGAGGTACGGCTGTGCAGAGTTGTTCAACCCGCCTTCTGGTTCGATTATAGAAGTGTGTGTAGAGGAGTGTGTACTTTGCTGCCTACGCTGTGGACACATGCGACAAACAACAAGTCGGGTTAATCTAAGTCTCAGGGAAATGAACTGGAGCCACTGTGATCTTTGTCCGTGTTACCTTGTTGAGCTCCTGCCTCAGCAGGTTCCACTGCTCTGAGTAGGTCTTGCGAAGCTGCTGCTTGTCTCTGATGAGCAGTGTCAGTTTGCTGATGGGGCCGTCCAGTAGATCCTCAGAGTGCTTTTTCATCACCTGGCTGAGGGACTCGGTCTGCGACACCAACACCGCCCACGACTGAGAGACGGAGGCAAAAGGTGGACAGGTCATGTCAATGCATCAGTGGAGAAAACAAACGTCTGCTTTGCAACAAAACTGGATAAAAGTGAGCTCAAGAGTCCAAAACAGGCCGTCATGAACATGGATAGAGCCTCCAAGCTATTTTAAAAACGCCTCACATTTTAGTGCATTGTGCCTAAATAGAGAGATGGAGATATTTCAACAATTTCCCTGAGGTACCCAACCAAAGGATCAATAAAGTTCTATCTAATCTAATCAAATCTAATCTAATCTAATATTAAATTCTTATTTTTCAGGATTTTGTCACTGTGGCCTCAATAGCCTCCATTTTACAAACACGTAACTCTGCTTCGAGTGGGTTGGAATGAGCTTAACGAACTGACGTCTCACCTACAAGCAGCACTACAGCAGCACGGTGCAGGTCAATGGTTGTGAATACTTTGCACAATCCATGCAGATCCAGTCATCAGCACATCTCCATGCAGATGAGGGGACTGAGCAGCCTGAGCTTTCTTATTAGGAACTGGGAATGTATTTAACATTTCAATAATTAGGCAACTAGGGAAGAAATGTTTAGGTCTGTTACCAGCACCTTAAAGGAACTGAGGACAAATCTGGTTTTATAGATTTAAGTTTCAGATGCTTTGGGTCATTCACATACGAGGCATTTTGTGAACACGATGACTCTCTAGCTGGAGGCTTGTGTAGAATAAATGACTGTATTATTTCCCATCCATGTAGCAGGTCATGTGTTAATACATATTTTTGTGATAAGGGAGGTGTTTCTAACTGACCTCACAGGACTGATTCTGTCACATAATTAACTTCATTTCTCACTGAAATAATGATAATAAATAAAAACATAAAGAATCCTTTGTCCCATGGTTGGAGGGAAGTCTGTTTGTCGCCTTCCTCATTTGTGATAATCTGTTTGTCAAACATTCATAAGCGCCACTAAACTTTTAAAACACATTTTAAATAAACTGAATGACTGAGATAAAGCACCCTGCAGTGGTTTTCTTCCACTGGACTCGTGACTCGTGCTGATGACTCCGGATGCCGAGTGACCTGCAGCGTCTCACCTTGTTCAGCTGACTGATGTGGTCTTGTCCCGCGCTGGGCTGAGGCCGGTCCAGTTTCTCCACCATGGCAGTCATGTGGTGCAGCTGCACTGAGAACTCCCTCTCGCTCTTGGCTCGCTGACCCATCCACTTCTTCATGACCTCCATCAGGTGCAGCTCCGAGTCCAGCAGCCTCATGACCGCCGCATGAGCCTGTGGACACCTCAGGTCCTCCCCGAAACCCATCTCCAGGCTGATTGCACTCTCCTCCCGCCAGTGATTTGCTGTCAGCAGTAAAATCCTCTGTGCTCTGCTGAGTGACAAGCCGAGGCAGCTGCTAATGACCAAGAGTATTTATTTCTCTGTGGCAATAGAAGGGTTTCACTTCCCTGCGAGCGGAAAAAAAAAATAAAATACAGAGAGGCGGCACTTCCTCATGACTGCTTGAATGTGGTTATGCTAGTAATTGTCATTTTACTTTCAATTTATGAACAACTTCAGAGCGACTTTTAAACTCTAAATGACTGTAGTGAGGTATTTGCACCACAACACGTCCTTGTTGTGAACGTGTCTGAGCAGCAGACAGTGAAGGCATTTTGTCTGCATGATAAAAACAGACCGAGTGCAGCAACACCTCAGACTAAAAACTAAACTCTGAGGAAGACGACCACCGAGCCTCAGGCACGTATTTCATCTTGATTGTTGCACAATGAGGGCCGTTCCTTTGTTGCTCTGTGCAGCTGAAGCATCAGAGTCAAACGAAACCAGGACCGGACTTTTTCTGAGATGCTTTCGTTTTACTTTTTGTGCTTCCCTTCAAAGAAAGTCGACGGCAAACATCCCACTTGTGGATCTATTAATGCACAAGCCATAAAAAAAGAGCCTATAAGTCTGCTCAGATAAAATAAATGTTAAAATTATACATTTCTAAAGGAAAAATCCAATTTAAAATAATATAAAAAAGCTTTAAATGATCAAAAGTAGTACAAAAAAACCACCTTCCCCTTGGATTGGTTTGGTTATTGGCCCCACCATTGTTGGGGGCGGCTTACTTGTTATTTAATTTTCTTGTTGTTATTTAAAATTTTCCAAAAACTCCCCCCAAAATATAACAAAACCTTCATTCAGCCTTTTGTAGGTTTTCATTTTAGTTAAATCTAACAGTGTGTAGGCTTGTTTTCAGCTTCATTTCAGAGGCAAATATGCTAAAAATCACAATAATAATATTTTTTTTGCATCTGTATATTAATATGATTTTACACAGAGAACAGATGATCATCTTCATAACATATGATGCAGTGGATTAGATAAGCTCTCTCCGGGGGGCTTCCTCTGTCTTTACACCCTCAATTCAGAAAGGAAAAACATTTACCACACTTAAAAGACAGACAGGAAGCCATGTGTGCATCCTGCAAATCAGCTATTAAATGCCGTGTGGACATTTTGGACCAACATGCAACCATCGATGACAAACTGATCAGTAGATGTTTTATGAAGAACGTGACTCTGGATGAACAACTTTCTGGTGCCACACAAACTCCTCTCCACCGCCGAGACACCTTAAACAATTATAAGGAAAAGCAAACAAACACAGGAAGGAGGCGAAGGCACAAGAGACGGAGGCAAACAGAAGAAGAGGCTGAGCCCGGATAAGACAAAAATCCACATCCAGAAGGCGGTGACGGTCAGAGGGGAGGGAGAGGTCCCTGGACCGCTGATGGTCCAGAACAGCTAAAGTGAAAAGAGAGGAGGATAAAAATAGAGAGACTGAGACACACAGCTTGGATGCTCCTGTGCTTAAGGGACAACAAACAAACAGGCTTAGAGCGACGCAGCGGGTTTCAGTCATTTCATCAGCACAACACCACGGACTGTAAGTACCGGGCTTCACAGGTTTGGACTGAGAGCGGACCGCCGCGGGGACCGGGTTCAAGGCCTGAAGTAATTAAAGGATGAGTAAATAACTGAAAGTTCAGGAACGATCTGTGCTTAAAGTCTGAGAGTTAGACGGAAGGTTTAAAGACATGCATGAAGGAGTGTTTGTAATTTTAATCATCATCAGAAGCTCCTTAAACAGTATAAATCATCCTTTTTGTGGTGCTTTGCGGTTGCTGGAAACTTGTAGGTGTAAAATAAAAGCCGTAAAGTTCCACCCACACCAAACTGTGATTGGTTTAAAGGAATAGAAACAAGACAGAACTTTTATTTCCCCTTATAGCAGACTGACAGCGGTGCAGCCAGACCATTATGTCCTACAGAATGGTCTGGCAAAGAGAGCCTATGGTGGAATAAACCGTCTTTGTGTTTTGGGCTTAAAAGACACACAAACTTTGATTCACTTGCTAAAAAAAAAAGAGGCACAATATGGGTCATGGATCTGAGCGTGAGTCCAGCCTGAAAACAGAATGTGACGGTAATGGTGTCTGGATGAAACCAAGGCATGACGTTGCATCCAACATAAAAGACATAAAGGAGCAGATTTTAGCAGCAAACAGAAAAAAAAACAGATTCTGACTGAAGCCGACCTCGTTAATGCTACGTGAGCAGCCCGGCGTCCACTTGGTGCTTTACAGTAAAATACTTTTGCAGGTCTTTTTATTGCAGATGTAACTACAGAGTTTCACAACGTTGTGCTGCTACTCTGACTTTGCTGCTAGACTTTTATAAATGTGCAAATGTGCAGCGAGCGAGGACGAAGCACTGCGGCTTCAAAGCTGTGCCCTGACTGATTTGAAAGTCTGATACGGGCCGACGCTGGTCTGCTGCTGAAGCCAAAGTGCTGCATGCACGCTGAGAAATGTGTATCGATGCTGCCCTTACCTTATTTAATGTTGTGAAATGGCTAGTGTGTTAAAAGTTTTTTTTTCTTGCTAGTGTACACTGCTCATTGCTTTCAGACCTCAGCCGACTGTTAAAAAAGTGCTGAGGGTGTCTCTTGCATAAAACACAAGGCTTTTCATTTTATCACAGTGTGAATTCAGTCTCACTTCATTACTTTCGTTTATGGCTCGCTTGGTGTAAACTCATTGGCGTTATTCATCAAATGTACTCATTACACAGGCTGGAGAGAAGAAGGGACACACAAAAAAAATAAAAAATACAAGAGACAGTGCAGCACTGCTGAGACTGCTCGTAGCGACCGCAGAGGAAACGCTGGCCTTTATGTTTAGAAACAGCATCTAGAACAGACAGTCATGCTGTTGTAGATGTTTGATGTCCACGTGTTTTAACTCATCTCCTCCACATGTATGTCGATGAGACTCACCGTAACTGGACATTTCTCAGGTTGTAAACTCTGAAAATGTGAAGACAGTTTTCTATGGAGCCACATTCTGACACTAAAAAACACCATTTGATATTGGAAACGAAACCTGCAATGAAAAAAAGAAATACTGGCATTGAACCACTATTGATAAAAGTGCAGCACAAAAAAAAAAAAGTCATTAAAAATGCTGCATTGAAACCTGAAATTCATTTTGCAAAGCTGTTTGACCTTCAACATCATCCTGTTTTATTTCATTCTCATGTTTTTCTTTTTCTTTTATCCTGACATGTTTTACAATCACTAGCTTTAGATATTTATTTTTAAATTCCAATCGTATTTTTCTGCAGACAGCTTCTTTTCAGATCATAGTTGTCACTTTCAGCTCTCAGCTGCTGTTTTGGTTTGGAGGCTGAAAGAACCATTTACATGTAATCTACATATAATTTTCTCATTGTGGGGAGAACGCCTGCCTGAGCGTGGATGTCGTCAGTTCTGCAACATTTCAAGCACAGCAGCTATGGACACTACAGAGACAGACCTGCTGCTCTGGCAAACGGATGCCGTCTTTTTATTGCATGGCAGCGGGTGTAGCAGGGCGGAGGCATGTAGTTCTCATATAGACTTAAATAAATACATTTTGCTTAAAGACAAATATTAATGTTTACCGTGTTCACCATCCTAGTTAGCGTTTTTATACCTAAATAATGTTTGTTTTCCAACTTGGCACTGTGGTACTCGTTTCTATGTCGATGATAAACTCCTCTAGTGTGACAAATCTGTACACTCGTGTACAGATTTGTACACAATCCATCCATCCATCATGTATACACCGCTTAATCCTCACTAGGGGGGGCTAGAGTCTATCCCAGCTGACTCAGGGTGAAGGCAGG